TAGCATTAGTTCAGAGCATGTATGTACAAAGTTTCATCAAAATCCAATGAGTGGTTGTTTAGATATCAGTGGAACAATCATGGAACAGCTAAAAATCAGCTAATTATCATGCAAATTAGCCTAGGTAATTAATATGCACGGATTTTTACCAAAAACTAATCAAATCTGCGCATATGTTCAGAGCATCTATGTACCAAGTTTCATCAAAATCCAATGAGTGGTTGTTTAGATATCAGTGGAACAATCATGGAACAGCTAAAAATCAGCTAATTATCATGCAAATTAGGTAATTTAATATGCATGGATTTTTACTAAAAACTAATCAAATCTGCGCATATGTTCAGAGCATCTATGTACCAAGTTTCATCAAAATCCAATGAGTGGTTCTTTAGATATCAGTGGAACAGTCATAGAATAGCTAAAAATTAGCTAATTATCATGCAAATTAAGTAATTAACGAGCATGGATTTTTACCAAAACCTAATCAAATCTGCGCATTGGCCCAGAGCATCTATGCACCAAGTTTCATTAAAAACCAATGTATGGTTCTTGAGATAGCAGTGGAACAGTCGAACACACATACACACACACACACACACACACACACACACACACACACACACACACACTAACTGCAAAGACTCCCATTTTGTGCTTCGCACATGGGAGTCAAAAACTGTACTCTCGAATAGGCATCAATGACTACAGAAAACCTAAATTAGACTCTAATCTAGGCGTCAAGAAAGATTGAAATCTTCAAAAAATTATGCCTTAATTTAAAATTAAATGGTACATCTTTTTCTGAAATATGTGGTGTCTGTTCGGTTTGTGAAAGTTTGGGGTGCGGCTTATATTGCAGACTTTTTTCTGGGATCAAAACTTGTCAATTTCAACATGAAACAATGTCTCAAGTTAGGGGTGCGGCTTCTATTAAAGCTGCGGCCTCAAATATGATTTTTACGGTATCTACATTTTATAAGACAATCATCAACGCATCAGATATACATTTACTGAAAACACTAATCCAATACATTGATAATAATGCAAACTTGAAAAGAAGCATTTAGTAACTTTCTTTGTTTTTTGATACTATAATTAATTTGTGTTCATGTTTATTAATTTAACTTTATTATTCAGAGCCCAAAAAAGATTGTAATTTCTTTACGGTGATAATAAAGTATTATTGTATTGTATTATATGAAGCCATTCTAGCACAAAACTGCCACTGCTTTCTAGATAAATAAATCTTCATTTGACCAGCTGATTGTAGCATTATTTTGCCCCAAGAAACAGATACAAAGTAGAGTTCTATGACTTTCTCCAAACCAATACTGTATGGCATTTCTTAATTGTACTAAGCAAATAAAATACAATGGAGTGATCTACATAATACTACTTTGCTCTGCAAGTCTCCCAGGCTAAAGTCACATTGATTAGATGTTGTGTGCAATTCACACAAAGATCAAACTAAGTCCTGACTTCAGGGTGCAACTACACCTTGAAGGCCTAACTTGGCTAAAAGTCAGGTACACAAACTGGTAAAAGAAAAAACACATCTTGAATAGGGTAAAATATTTTAGCCTGAGACATTATGCATTTAGAAGATATAATTTCATCTTCAAATATCTATCAGAAAATTCCTTACTTAAAAAATCAAAAACATCATTTGTTCAAGCCTCTGAATAGCAGATGTGAAACTACCCCCCAGTGTTTTCTCCAGTTTTGTCATTCACTGTTCCGCTCCTTTTTATGTCTATCAAACTATTTGGTTCATAAGTTCACATGGCTATTTGAACATTTTGTCTAGTGTGTGGAAACTTGTACATGAAAACAGTTAATTTACAAAACAAAACATGATAAGGGGTGATTTAATTCAAGCTTTAGCCGAGTGGAACATACCCCACCCCCACACACCCCAAACCCCATTCTGAGTTAAACAAATAATAGCAGAGCAAGTTAAGCCTTTAATAAGCTCTAGCTGTAGGTATTTAAAAAAAGGGTTTATATTCGAAAATAAGGCAGGCCTTAGGCTTACCCAAGTTTTAGGCTTGACTACAATCATGTGTGAACATGAACGTAAATATTTAGGCTGTCCTAAATAAAGCACACCTGGACATCATGCATAACAATTCACAAGGCTATTCATTTGCATACAAGTACTAGTATCAACTGGTGACGTCACTAGGGAACATTGCTGCACAACATAGACATGGTAGTCTTACTTTAAAAACTGCCGAAAAATTGCCCTGGGCCGATATTTTGGTCCCATTATATTTTTTTTTAAAAACTCAAACTGTTGTTTAACGGCCCAGGGTGAATATAGGACAGAATCCGGTACAGTAACAACTTAAGTCATTAACTGGAGTTCGGATCCATTTTTCATACATTAATTTCACGACCTGGTATATTTTGATTTTGGTTCCTGTTTGATACATATCAATGGGGTAATCATCTATGGCAGGAGAAATAAAAGAAACAAAAACCATGTTGTACAATTCAATGTTTGATTCATGTTCCACAGTAAATAACAACAATGTTTTTCATTAGCATACCAGTTATTCACACACTTGTAAAAGGAGTTTTAACTGTTTTCAGTGAGTGACACTTGCATACCCCCCCCCCCCCCCCCGTTTTTTTTGTCTGATATTCAGGAGAAGCGTGTTGCTACAACTCAAAATATTAAATTTTAATTGAAGATGATTTATAATTTAAAGTCTATTCCAGGGCAACAGAAACCAAAAACCTAAATGGGTAGGTGGGCATTTCACTGCCACTTTTAAACAAAAGTAAAAACACAAATGATAAATAAGGGCAATATGAAGCAAAATGGATAACAAATATAGATTATTGTCATGCAAATAGAATTTGAATAGATTATGTATAAGTCATATATTATTCTTAGTATTTTTTATCTCATTCAGAGATTATGATCAGAAATCATTCCCTGAAATAAGAAACAATCTAATGAATTGATATCAAACTACCTAGTAAATTGAAATAATGTAGTGATGTGAATAATTTAAAGTAAAATTACATGAAATCACATAGTATAGTAGAATTATTGAATATGAAGTCATCTATTGAATATGAAGTCATCTATTGAACATGAAATCATCTATTGAATATAAAGCCATCTAGTGAATATAAAGTCATCAAGTGAATATGAAGTCGTCTAGTGAATATGAAGCCATCTAGTGAATATTATAACAAATTGACAGAAAATCGAAGGGGAAAAAATCAATAGTTACAGCTATTTCCAGTGTTTGAAATTACTACCTGTCTGTCTCCCGGCACGGGTAACTATTCATTCAGGCTAGTGAAAATTACTAGCCCTTTTTTGAAAATAAAAAATATTACTTTTCACAAAAATCACAAAATGTATAGATTGTTGTCAAAATTACAGTATGTACCTATAGATCTGATGAGAGCGTTTTGACACATGCAACATGTAAAACAAGTATAAACAACATCCATGAACGATGCACGATGCACGATTTAACTCTCACACTATTCGTGATTTGAATGGTCACAATATGCAAGAGTTTAGTTGACCTGACCTTTTCAAAGCTGGAATTGACATATCGTTCTGCTCTGTATTTTACATTGTATTTTGAAAATGTCGGTTTTTAGGAAACAAGTCTCCAGCAAAGAAGCAAAATATAAAATGCGACTCCAAAAGGGCAAATAGGTAAACCTATAGTCTGGTAAGCCATTTTGACAAATTTCAAAACTGTATTGTCGCTTTAAAGTATTATTTATTTTGAACATAAGAACAATAAAGCAATCTACATAACATAGCGCTACTCATACTCAGTATGAAGCCATCTTGTAAACAAGCTGTCAATTAAATGAATATGAATTCTCACTCACAGTTGTTGTTCCCCTTCTTCATCTGTATACAACAAGCTGCATTCTTGGCCTGTATTATAGACTCTACAAATTGAGATTCGAGAACAAAATTCAAATATAAGTACAAACTGGCCTCAACATATTGCCAGCCTGAGTCGAGATACACAAAAGAGTTGCATATTATCAAAGGCGCATTCACAAATGTCATGTACTATCATTTGGTAAGCTAACACCGACTTACAGTGAGTCACTTTCCCCAAAAATGTTATTTTCTCCAGTATAGAGAATTTCTCTCAATATGAGTAAAAACTCAAGTGGTCTGAGAAAAAAATATGGGATTGTATCTGGAGTGGGACCATTAATCCAATATTTTTTTGAAGTTCATGCATTTTAGAATAATATTATAACAACCGGGTTACCCGACATTCTACATGCATCATGGGAGGATGGGAGGATGGGAGGATGGGGGGGGGGGTTTACAAGTGATCAAAAACAAATCACCATAGATACTGTTGTTGCAGGGTGACAGTCTCCTTATTTTTACCGACCTAATTTGTACACACCAAAATAACTTGCGTAGCTCAAATAAAGCCCGGTTGGCTGGTAATAAACCTAAACCAGTGTGACCAGTAGACTATACTGAAATGCATAATAATTTCTCCCGAACAGTTGTTAGTAAGCTATTTTTCCGGGAAAAGTGCCTTGCTGACTGTCGGTCGATCGAACGAACGACCCCAACAAGTTCACAATTGAACAAAATGACGAACCTCAAACTCACCGGACTTACAATTTACTCCAAAATTAGCCACCCACCACATGCATTGTAGACATGGTTTGTTGAGACAGCGAATGAAGCAAAATTGTGAAAATTTCAGAGAACCTGCAAACAACAACTTCAAACTTTCCGCCATCTTTTTTTGTGGCGCATTGAACTATGGGTATCAGGAAACTTTCTGTAACGTACTCAGACCTTGGTTGAGTAATAGCGTAAATAAATAAGTATTTGTCCGGGTTATAATATCACTGGTAGAATTAATGATTCATCGAAACTTTTTGGACTTATTATGCAAAACAATAACGAAACTGTGTTAATCGACCAACAGCTGTATTTTACAACCGGTCCTTCTGCAATAATATATAAGATAAGATTTTCTACCTTAAAATACTCGGAAGATCTTCATCTTTCTCTGCGTCATTTTGAAAATATTTGTCAGTAAAGATTTGACCTCTGACATCCAAAATAGTTCCTGAAATGCACCAATTAAAATTGGTTATGTACAAGATATTTGACTGTAATTCACACACAACAATAATTCGATCAAGAATTCCCTTCCGCCATGTGTTGATACTAATAACACTGAGAATAAAATAGACGAGTTTTTGTTTAAATATCTGAAACAATTTTACCTGGCACGATGTTCGATGGTGTTACAGACAACGTTTTCGGCGACATATCCAGAGAATACTGTAAACAAAAATACATTCAAGTTATCAACTACACGCATTGATATTTTTACTTCTGTGTAAAGCGTCTTTCGGTCACTTTTCTCCTTGCTAAATCTGCGTCTTGGAACTACTTCGTACACCATGAGAAACATTTTTAAAGATTGAACCAGAATACTGTAAATATTTAGATTCGTTTACTTGTGTTGTCTATGCTGTATATGGTTCACCAGTAGATGCACTATCATGATATGGAATAACAGATCTGAACGTGAACCGTCTGTGAAAGTACCTACCGTGAAAGTACAATCGTTCATATTGTCACAATATTGTCCGTCGATATCTTCAATGAATATTCCGTCGACCGCCAAACGAATTGTATAGCTTCCTGGAGATGCTCTCCTGTATCACGACAGAGAAACACGCAGCATGGAATAATTAACTTAATAACTTTGCTTTATGCAGAAAATGTCACAACACTCAGAAAAACTATGCTTGATAAATTATTTCAAATTATGACGTGGTATCGTCGAAAGATATATTCTAATATAAATGCCAAAACTGTATTTCCCTGACTGTCAACGAGAAATTGAAAATACCAGGCATTATTATTGCGGAGTGTACTCCTGTGAACGTCGTTGGAATGCAGTACTGGATATCCCCCCATATTGATATATTTGATCTTAATTTAAATTATTGTGATTTAAGCCAAGTTTTTAAATTCTTATTTTTTTTGAACAACTCGAATGTTTTAGCGTCCATAATTTGGGGTTCTACCTCTCGAGCTGAGAAACATCTCTATCCTGGGTAGTTATTCAAATAGTTTAGAATATTGCAGAACGCGGTCCCGTAGACGCTTGCACGAGCCGAGTGTGCTTATAATCACGTCACGTCAGGTTAACAGTGTTCATATAAATACAAATACAAATAACGATTATTGGTGTACTACCTTGTGCCACATACGATACGAGTATCACTTGCGTGCTTTACATCACATTGTACCGATGACGTCATTAATTCCAAAAATACCTTGTTGCCAAGGTGCTCATTTCCAGGACCAAAATTGAAAGTCGTCGGGCTGAATCCTGGATCATTGAAAACATAGAAATCGAATAAGGATGAAAAAATACAACATCTGTGTTATTTATTTGTATATTTTACTGATATATCGATAAAAATACATAATGCACCTGGATACCATCATGTCGCTGATAAAACAAAAGTATAACAAATCAGTCTAGTTAACCGTTGGGGGCTTGTTCGCATAAGAGTGCCTCCACTGAGCCATTCCCTAAGTAGATACATTGGTATAATCATTTTAACAACAACGATTTCTTTGTATGTTTATAAACTAGCGTAGCGATATTCTAAGTGACCTTACCTGACCCCTCTATTGCGATTTCAGTCGCGCCTCTGACGCTACCAGATACCGGTGAAATTCTGTCAACTTTTGGTCCATTGCCGTCAGCGGAAAGTGACACTGTAAAACAAAAACGACTTTATTTGAATGTCCAAAGACACTGGTAGCGATTACCGTTTACAATTACATGTCTCAATATATGTTGTTAAGGTAACCAGTCCCAAATACCAATACGTAACACCGAGTCACTATTTTATTATTTTTTTGTATTAAAAGACAAATTGGTTGCGGCACATTTGAAAACGTCACCAGGCAACCCGATAAATTAACCAAACAATCAGTTGGTTACATATAATTGATGCATGATGATATAGAGAGGCGACTCGCTTCCATCAAATAATGAATGATGTTGGTCCGTTTCATCGTTACTATGAAATATTTGTATGACAATTGTTGTTGCCTAAAAGTATAGGTTTCGTTACTTTAAAACACTGAACAGAACTATATTAAAACTGTAAACTAAACCTTAGCACAAACTTTCGTCGGCTGAGGAATGTTTATTGATATATACTCCGATATTCGCCACAGTTAAAACATTGACGTACTAACACTTAGTTTGTAACGCTTGTAAGAATGAGAAAAACCTACGATTTGAGCCGTGTTCAGTTTGTACATATTTAAGTTACCGGTATGAATTATTTATAACACACATGCTTAAACTGACATCAATGTAAGTCAACTTTTTATTTGGGATGCTTTCGTTGTTAACTTGAAGCAGGGGAGTCGGGCGTTGAAATATCCACCAGTATTTGAACCAGAAAAAGAACACTGTGGCAAATATCTTTCCCAAACAATCTTGTCTTAGACAACAACAAAAAAAGGTTCATAGACTTCCACTCGCATCTGTCAGATCGCATTTTTTTGCACTAGAAAATCCCTCTATTGTTGGCAGCTCTATGAGAGTGGAACATAATGCGGGACCTTGGAACGAAAAGTGTCTCCCGGCTAAATGATTGCATTCATAGACATTGTTTGCTGCCGACGATCGTCTGCTTCAATGTTTGCAATTTTTTAAAAGTTTCTTCGTTAAGTGCATCGTTTGAAAGACATTCCAGATTAGTATAAACTTTTTGGCAAAAAAAACTTCACCCTTTGCTTTCAAATTTTTGGGAAAATAAATTGCTTCCCTCCAAATTGGCTTTTCAAAATTTGCTCCCCGCCCAACTTAGTTTTCACAAAAAAATCTGACAACAAGATATGTTCGTCTGTCAGAGATTGGCAGAGATTTGTCAAGATTGACACAAATAGTAACACTGTGGAATCAATGACATCTAGGACTTCATCCCAGGATCGTAAGTTCATGCACCGCCGTTGGTGCCAAATCGTTTGTTGCATCTATTCACAAGGATTTCGGTTCTGTGGTATGGTTAACAGCAGACTAAGTTTGATATTTTTTAGATCAACCAATGTAAATTATATAACACGTGTGTTTGTATGGTGCACTTTGGAGAACTAATATTACACAGTTTTTACGCGTTTGAACTTTGACATGTATTAGAAATATGCCTTAGCTTTGTAATTGATGAAACCAGACTTAAGACATGCTTTCAGGTGACGTAACATTCAAAATAAACTTGTAATTTGATAACCAATGTTGCAAGTTAACTATAAATATACTGTTGCCTAAAACTCGCAAGTTGGCTTGACTCGGTTCGAGTGACAATTTAGTTACTACTTGTATTTATGTTATGATGCGTTACATTGAAACAAGCGCATGTAATAGAAACGGCCCTCAAAGACAATTGCAAGAAATTCGACCCCCTCGATTTCTACCGCCCCTATTTGTTAATTAGCATCCTTGAAAAAGTAATACTTAACTGAATGAAAGAATGGTACAATTTGACGAACTTATGAATTCGGAATAATATTTTTAATATTTGAATACTTTGCGCAATAAATGTAATATTGAGCACAAATCTTTACAATTTAAAAAAATTACAATTTTATTTTTAAGCATTCGCAGAATCAATACACTGCACATGCGTATCTCCGCATTCCATCAAGCATAACCTGTTGAGTTCAAGTTCACGGTGCTATTCATAACCTAGTGATATTGCACAGCCCCACAAAGTATTCAAATTTGTCCTAACTTGATTCATCTATTTTTTGACTCTGGGAAATGCGAATGGCCTTTAATGTCAGTGTTTATTACAACGCATTTGGATTTGTTTTAATAAAAACCTTGTTACCTCTGCTCTATAACCTGGTTATCAAAGTTATGTACCATGTCGCAATTTCAAATTTTAGTGCATTGTGGGATAGTTCTATGGCGGGGTTGCCCTATTGTGTTCAGTCACGGTTCGACAACAGCAAAACTATCCCACAATTCACTATGATTTTGATTTGCGATATGGTCTACGTTGCCTATGACCTTGTTGAATGCAGATATAGTTTAATAGACTAAGTACATGATGTCGTTGACTCCAGCGAGAATGATGACTCAGTAGTTTCTAAAATACCATGCTTTGTTTTCATTGTGAAATAAGATCACCAACAACTGTGTTTTTTTACCTGCTGTGGGGTATAATATAATCTGTGTCAAAGTCACCGTGACTTGTATTGTAATAGACGCACGTATGCTGAGTGTGTTCCAATAATAAAGCCCTACAGCGTTCTTCGGGTAATAAATGAGCTGCGGTACAAAATGCAGAACACAGTGTAGAACAATGAACCTTGACCAAACTTGGTTGGCTCTACAACATCAACTTAATGAACAATAAAGTCAGGAGGAGCTACTGTACGTGATATTTCCGTGGTGCAAAGCAGCGTTTTCGAGGACCAAATCATTAGACAATATTAACATTTTAGGTGGGCGTGTTCGATCTGGTCCCTTTAAACGAGAAAATGTGTTGTGTCCGTGTTCGAAGTAGTCAAAGCTACTCAACGATAAATTTATATCAAACGACAATAGAATAGAATAGAATAGAGCTTTATTGAAACCGTAACGATTGTACAGACTAAGTAAAGTAAGAAATATGTTAAAAATAGATGTTTTCGCCCATTTTTCGTCCCGTATACAATTATGGATTACAACTTCAAAATCGCACTAATTCTGACGTTTCGGTCGCGCACGTTTTGAATATTGAGTTGTATAAACGGCGTTAATTTTCAAACACTAATTATGGCGATGTTCCAAATAGATTTAAAATTGACTACTCCTATATTGCGTGATTTGAACCTCTGCAATTCCGTGACCATGAATTCAGTGAACAAGGCTAAAACTCATACACCGTGATCACATAGAATTCTTCTACAGTGTTTACATGGTGAACCTTGGTATTGTTAGGTTTGGTTTGGGATATATGTTGCATCCATGTAGTACATGAACTGATATGGTGAGTTATGGGGCGTTTAAACCAATCAGGTGTGTCAATACATTTTGTAGCACATATTCCTTGAGATCATAATGAAAACTCAATACAGGCGAATGAATATCTAGACTGCAACCATTGAAACTGTAATGGCGAACATACTATATTCAACAATTGACATGTAATTATTCAGTGCGTGTTTGAAAACTAAAATGGTGTTCAAAATGTACAGCAATTTTACATGTTTAACATTTTTTAAACATTTTTAAATTTTTGAAAAACCCGATTGGCATTTTTGAAATGCAAGTTTGATTTTTTTAGCAAAATACAAGTGAAGGATTTTTTTTATTTTTCAAGACCGAGTTTCAAAAATGTGCCTAAAATGCAAACATGCAAGCCGTTTTCGGCTTCTGTTTTACACTTTTGAAATGCACGTTTGACATTTTTGAAAACCTACTTCTTGAAGTACAGTTCTAAAACGGCAAACGTCTACTATAGGAGGAGTTGTATGGTGGCAAATGTTATGAGTTCAGTAATAAATGTAATAAGTATTGGCGTTTTGTGTTTGATCTTCTCATGTCGGTCTTTTTATCGAGAAAGATCCTAAACATATGTTTATAAGCCTTCGTTAAGCGCCGTGGGAAGAACTATGGAGGTGTTGCTATTCAAATTTAAGGTACTAACTAGTCGTTAAGACAGTGTATAAATGAATACAGGAGGCTTGTCTATAAACAGATATCAAAGGGTTCATTTATCGTCATTGTTACAATACAGTGATTAACAAGAGTTTATTCACAGGGGACTTTTTTTTCTGTGACCTCGAATCTAACTAGGTTTTCAAAGAAATATTGACCTTTGCTCAAGTAATCATTATAAGTTTTGCATACAGTCAGTATCATGATGATATTCAAAATTGTAAATTGCCCGCAAAATAGACGATCTCGTGTAAGTGACATAATATGCAGGTTTACTGAATTCGAGACATTGTGGTCGCCTTTGTTCCATGTCCATTATAGTCAGAATGTGGGTTTAAATACCGATACAAATCGCTTTTGAGATTTTTGGCTTTCATCTGCCATGTTATAATGTCCTTAAAACGTCCATTTACACCAATGCCAATCGATTGAAATTACGACTATTGGTGTAAAATCAATACAGTCCTATACATGTCCTTCTATCAGAGAAACTGTGAATCGTGTTACAAAAGAGTTTTTCTCAAACAATGCAATGGGTATTACGTGAGTGCCCAGGTTTTTAATGGAGAAGATTGCAAACAAATCACGGACAATCAATTTATCGTGCTTCATTGTTTATTACGATGTACGTATCCAGGCCTCTGTAATTGATCCCATTGACCATGAACCTACTACTAGTATAACCGCACGGTGACTCACATGTAGTTAGGAGCCTTGTCTGACTTTTTGTTCTCACTTTAAATAACAATTGAAGATGATTCCTTACAAGCTAGTGACTATGGCCATTAGTCTGACTAAGTGCAATGGGAGCCAATAGTAATTGTCGTTATTCAATATATATTAATAAGTAATAATATGCTAATTGGATAGCAGGAAAGAATATTGAAATATTTGCAAATAAATTATTGCCGCGGTAAAAAAAGTCTTCAAGGAGAGCATTTAGACTATGTCTATGCACGGTTACTGAGCGTAGTCCTGTATTTTCGTTCACTCGATCAGAGATACGCCAAGACCCCCCCCCCAAATAAGGAATAATACGGAACATGAGCAATGT